AAAAAAAAAAAAAAAAAAAAAAAAAACTTATTGTTCTTGAGGCTCGTCAAAACTCCGACTTCCAATCAGATTCAATTCTAGCTTCCTTTACAGAATTTGTGCGAAATTCTTCGAGGATTTGCATTTCAAAATTTTAGAACCTAATACCAAAAAAAATCTCTCCCATGTGAAAAAAAACTATAACTAAAATCTAAAAAGCATACCTTATATTGTTTCTCGATTCTCGGATAGATTTGAGTGATTCAAGCATTTAGAATAGTTCTCCGAGGTCTACAAAAACATTTCTTGAGAAGAGATCTCATTGATCTTTTCCCTCCAAACTCCCAACACTTCCCTGTTTCTTTCTTTCTTTTTTTCTTCCTTTACTCATTGATTTAACCCGTTATTGACCCTTCGATAGGGAACGGGTCAAATTGACCATTTTACTCCGTCACGGTTGACTTTAACCATTTTTCTAATTTTTGCTATTTTCTTTTATATATTTTTATTTTGAGTTCCTAAAATTTTTTTAAGCATTTTTTCTTCTACATCATCTTGAAACTCTCTAAGATTTTCAATAAAATCATAGAAATTTAAACTTAAAAAAAAAATGAAAAATTAATCCTCGTCGGGTCTCGAGTGTTACATGTTGTGTGTATAGGTTAACCAGCTACGAATAGTCACTAAGAAATAGTTTCTAAAAATGATTTTTAATAAGTAGATATACGTTCTGTGCTTAAGTAATCAACTATGAAAGTCCCTCCATTTCAATTAGTTAAGTGTATAATTATCTACATGTTTGACTTCAACAGAAAAGTGCCTTATTGAGTATTTTTAATACTCATCATATTTCTAAAATGATTTTAAGTAAGTGCAAGACTGTAGCATTGGAGGGACGAGCAGAAGCTTCACATTATTTCATTTTTTTGCTGCTGCACATTATTTCATTTTTTGTGAGAGAACTTATTTTCGAGATTAGATTATTTTCTATATAGAGATACTCTTGTAAAAGTTTCTTTGTGGGTTTTAATTGAGATTTGTAATAATGTGTCGTGTCCCATGAAATTGATTGTGTAGTATAATTTTGAGTTCAAAAATGATTTGTAGCCGATCATGAACTTATTAAAAGGATCATAGTAGTTCGATCTTGAACCTGTTTAAAAATATCATTGTAGGTTGGATCATAAACCTATAATATGATGGGTAGAAGTTTGATAGTGGGATAAAACAATAGTTCGTGTTTGCATGTGTTGACTCAAACAATAAGATCACTTACAAATTTTTAAATCTAAATTTTCCTAAATAGATCAAATAGATTCAACATTTAGTCGTAAATTTATGTGCTAAAATTATTGTTGGATTCCGTGATTCAAATCATAAAAAATGAGAAAACAACCTTCTTTTCTTTTTTATGTTATTAAAGTTAATAAACTTTAGACATAAAAGTTGAAAATACAAAATCACAATAAAAGAAAAAAAAAAAAAAAAAGTATACATGAATATATTATTTTAAAAGAGAGGAACAAAGCGTAGCTTTCTCACAGTCATAAATCCAAAAACTTGGTATTTACAAGAACAATAACAAAGAGACGAGCTTATGAACAGTGGTTATTTCAAGAACAAAACTAAGCTTATATCTATGGTGGCTTCAAATGCTATGAAAGCTTTGAAGAGTTCAGAAAAGGTGTGCAACAATAATAATGTAGAAAATTCATTCCAAGCAATACTTTATTTTTGACAAGAATAATGCTTGTTCAGCAGATGGTCAACTTTTTAGTATTTTATATGGAGGAGTTTATGAGCAGAGATATCAGAGAATCTACTTTCCAACACACTAACAGATGGTTCAATCACTAACTCAAAAGCAGATCTATGATGAACAGCATCCATATCTTCTTCCCTCAATCTAAAATTTGTGTCATACCTTTCATTTTTCGATATGAACAATGCCTGTTGAGAGCTCAAATATACCCTCTTTCTTGCTTTTTATAAGCATGGCTGACAGAATTTACTAGACTATGTCGTTCTTTCGAAGCCCCCACCGATCTGCATGTGTAGCCATTCTGGCGATGGGCCACGGCTGCTGTATTCTCTTGTTGCTTGTGAACCAAACGCAACACCAGTTGTATCGAATGTCTGCTGACCATACTGACACACAAAACTTGGATTTGTTAAACTTGTAATTTAAGAATTTGTCAAAACAACCATACGTTTTCGACCTTTCAATCCAATTTCTAATTGATAACTATTTAGGCCTAATATAATAGCCCATGCACACAAGTAATGGAAATTGTCCCCTTTGAGCTTTTCCTTCCATGCTTCCTCTCAAAGTTTTAAAACGCGTATGTTAGGGAGAGGTTTCACACTCTTATAAGGAATGCTTCGTTCCCTCTCCAACCGATATGGGGATCTCACAATCCATCCCCCTTGTGGGTCCAGCGTCCTCGTTGGCACACCGCTCAGTGTCTGGTTATGATACCATTTGTAACAGCCCAAGCCCACCGCTAACAGATATTGTCCTCTTTGGGTTTTCCCTTTCGAGCTCCTCCTCGAAGTTTTAGAACGCGTCTACTAGGGAGAGGTTTTCACACCCTTCTAAGGAATGCTTCGTTCCTTTCTCCAATTGATATGGGATCTCAAAATCCACCCCCCTTTTGGGGCCCATCGTCCTCGTTGGCACACCACTCAGTGTCTGACTCTAATACTGTTTGTAATAGCCTAAGCCCACCGCTAACAAATATTGTCATATTTGGGCTTTCCCTTTCGAGGTTTCCTTCAAGGTTTTAAAATGCATCTGTTAGTGAGAGGTTTCCACGCCCTTATAAGAAATGCTTTGTTTCCCTCTCCAACCGACGTGGATCTCACACCAAAGAATGGGTCATTTCTATCAACTCTGTTGCATTTCTGGAAGGCAATACATGTGGAAACTCCCATCTTTATGTAGTTCTCACCAGCTACTTGACTGAAGAGTTCACTTTAATTCTCCGAAGTGAGAAAAGATTAAACCCACTCAAGTGTGAAATGTGTTATGAACAGTTAAATACAATGGATAAAATAACAACATGAACAGAAAATCTGTTCAGATACTTACATCTTTAGGAGGAAACACTTCAATGCCAGGACTAACTCTGGAATTAACTGCTTCAAGCTTCATTGACAAGAACTGCATATCAAGAGAAAATTGAAAGCATGGAGTAATGTAATTTATTATCTACAAGAAAGCAATAACCATAATTAGAAAGGCATCAGGGAATACCTCAACCTGGTGCTGAAGCGATTGAATGTAATTTATTATCTCATCAAGTACAAGTGCTTTTCCAATGACCTGAGGACTTCCAATTCTTAATAACATGCTTACAAGTGACAATCAATTATTGAAACGATGACAGGGTTAGGTGGGCTGTCGATGATTTGGAGGGATCAAGAACGGGGGCCAGATGGTTTATAGCACAATCCATGAATTTTTTTCAAACATTATCATATCTGACAAGAAAATTTGCTCCAGAATTCATTTCATAAATGTCATTTCAAGTAAGCTCAAAAGAAAGAAAGGGGAGAGTGAAAGATCATCTCAAACATAAAGGCTCTACCTTATTACACCCAGGGACCAAATCCTGAAGAATTTTCATTCTGTCACTTATCTTTTCTCTTCTAGCCTGTCCAGCAGAGTATTCTAATCAACAAGAGATATTCAAGAATCCAACAGATAGACAGAGAAGCACCAAGTCATGCTATATTAATGAAGAAAATGACCACTCATATCTTAGTAACACTAATACATAACCAATGTCTTGAATGAATACCCGTTCAGCCAAACTATGGCTATCAGTTGCTTGGCCCCTTCTTGCTCGCACATGAATGTAATCCTGTTTGGGTTGTTCTGGTGGGGGCTGGGAGTTACACTCGGCCTTGCCAGATCTGGGTTCTGCTTCTGTTTTAGATGCGTGATTATCATCTCTACATGCTGCTGTTTTAAGGCGTTTTCCAGCAGAGACATTCTGTCGAACAGTTGGCAGGCAAGAAGTGAATACGATAACCAAATGATCCTAATTGCTTTTTATGTTGATTCAATACCAAATGAAACTCAAGAAACAGAATCAGATCAAATTCCCAGTTCCATTTGACCAATTCCATTATAGATTCAAAAACAGAATTCAGATCAATGTGTTGCGAGTCATTCAGAGAGAGAGAGAGAGGGGGGGGGGGG